CCCCCCCCCCCCCCCTTCCCCCCCCTGGGGCACCCTGTACAACCTAATACACGGAATACGAACGTTGGTCAGTGTAATCACTTCTCGTCTGATTAACAGCGCCGCGAATGAAACAGCCACCGACATGCCTGCCACATCAATTTTCGGGATATCTACGACGAGAGTACAAAGCACTCGGCCAGCTAGCTGTGCCTAATGTACTCATTTCTCGTCGGAAAAACGCCGACTTGGCTTAAGATTTCAGGGGAAAGCTACGACGTGTGTACAAAACAACACCGACGCTGCTGTGTGAAATGCTCTGTCGACAATCAGCAACAAACGACTTCCCACCAAGTTCAGTCTAACCTTCCCCCGCCGTGATGCCTCTCGTCCGGAAAAAGAAGCGTGTGAAAAAACACGCAACAATAATGACACGCAAAAAGTTGTTGGTGTTTTATAACCGTTGTTCCACAACCGCACAAAGCCAGGCGGGTGGGCGCTCTTTTCCAACCCCAAGCGCAGCATGAGCAGGCATTTTCGTTTTCGAACCCCAAGCATAGTACCAGCATGCGTTTCTCGTTGCATAGCATGATGAGCCGTTTTTTCGTTCCATCAATCGTTGATGCGATCATCGTTCCTCTGGCGGGAGACGTCTGTCATTGTCGGCACCGGCTTGAACTCCTAATTGGCATTCAAAACATGTTCAGGGCGAGGGAGGGAGGGGGGAAGGGAAGGAGGGGAGGGGGCATCGCATCAAAATACGCCCCACGAGCATCAGGGGACAGGTATCCGGGATGGTGGGCACCAAATAGTTCACGATGAATGGTGGGTTGTGCGTGCTTTTATTAAAATAACTTGTCTTGGAATAAGTCATTCGGGTTTGGGCGTGTCACATTGCGACTTGTGTGTGTGAAGCGGCGTAATGGGGAGAGGTCGAGAGTGCTCGAAAACTTGATCATCCATGGTGACTTGACGCGGGGGCAGAGACCAATTCAAACAACGTGCAAGGGGGGCGTTCGTGCCGTATATGTGCAATTCCAAGACGCCATTTTTCGTCAGTAGACCCGAACCAAAGCGCAAGACGTTCGCCGGCAGAACCACGCGGGAGGAAGCGGCGGCGTCTTTGCAAGGGAGGCCAAAACACGAACGCTGTAGCATAGCACGGTGAACCGTCTAGCCGCGTCATGGATCATGTCATTGGTTTTTCTCGAAACCGATCAAATATAACCAGCGACACGGGGGAATGGAATGACATCCTCCTGCCTCACCCGCTGCTTCATGCGCGTGTTGAACCCTAACGCCTGGTCGAGACTGGCAAACCAGTCCGCCGTGCTGTCATCCTTGCAGATCGTCGGCACTGGGAAGTTGGACGTCTTGATCACCAAAGTGTCTCCCCGGCAAAGGTCCTGGCTCAGCTTACCGTCAAAGCTGACCCTCGCCTCCGCCCTGATGCGCGTTGGGGGAGGGTGCTCGTTGTTGGCAGTGACCGCGATAAACCGGATGAACAATGAACGGACGGCAGTCTCAGCGCGGGGAAAACAAGGCTATGATCTGGGACACCCCGTGAAGGAGGGAAGGAGGGATGATAACGGCAAGTGTGTGTGCATGATCTTCCACGTGAAACGACCCGTGGGGCGATCGATACCCGATCTTGGAAATAGCTTGTTGTTGATGATGTGCTAACCCTCACTCCTCTGTTGTCTCTCATTCCTCGCTCTCGCTCTCTCGCTCTCTCTATCTCCTTCTGTGTCTGTTCGCCGGGTCGAACATAAAACACCGGGGTTATTTTGACAAATGAAGAAAGGCTAGACTACCGCATGTACTTCGAAGTAAGAAAGAACCAAAATAAAAACAATGCATATCAATTCCAGAAGAGAAAAAAATGATCCACATGTACTTTGCGCGATATGATACACATACAAGTAGATATTACCATTTGTTCTGCTTTGCACTCTCGCGACCACTTCCGTTCGAGTGGAATTTCGATCTGTAGAGTACGGAGGACTTTTGAGGCAAGGAATCATTTCGGAAAAAGTGTAGAATCGGCAAAGTTGGGGTTAGGGTTTAGGGCCTGCGTGCCCCCTGCCTGATCGTTTTCCAAAAAAACACACCTTTTTCGCGTAGGCAGTCCAGTCCATTTCGATATGTGTACCTGAATGTTTACCCGTCAACTTCGCTCTTGGTGTACACAGCAAAATAGACGATCGAGACCGGGGACGCGACCATTCGGTCCCCTGCTGAGCTCACCACCACGGGAGTTGCGCTGACTGTGCACGCTAGGGCCCAGTGCGACCAGAGCACCGACCGCATCCATCAAAAGGTGTGAGGCAAGTGATACATCAGGGTGGAACATGTCACTTGCCTCCCTCCCTTTTCATGATAAGCTGTTGGCGCTCTTATCGTCAGGTAGGCCCCAGGTTGCACCATTGCCTCTCCAAAAATCAAAGTAAGTCATGCCCTATACAAACACAAAACCACACCGAGCCCACGTTAAATACTGAGTATTCATAAATGATCTGTAAGTATTCTGCGCGATAATATGTGCGTGTGATTTGCTTGGTTTTGTTTTGGGTATTTGCGAACTTTCAGTTTTGGGGGGGCAATTACATACAATGTGCAAATAGTCTACTACCTGGTGATTGTTTCGCTTTGCACTCTTGCGACCACTTCCATTCGAGTGGAATTCCGATACACCTCACTCATTACCCGGCAACCACACCCATGACGATATCTACCACTTAGCTGCGCACCCTGGGGCCAATGTGACGACCAGAGGCCTGACGGAAATGTTAAAGCAGAGTGAGGCAAGTGAACGCATCAAGGAGGAAATAAGTCTGCGCCGGACTTCTTTCCGCCCTCATGTGTGCACTTGCCTCACTCTGCTTCAATGTTGCCGTCGGGACGCTGATCGTTACATGGGCCCCAGGGTGCACAGCCAAGTAGTAACTATGTTCGTAGGTGTTGCTGCCGTCTTACCTGCGCAAGTACTGCTGTGAAAGCCAACAAACCAACGGGTGTATCTCGAGGATCCATCAGACAGACGACCACGGCGCGTTTCCTCGAAAAGCATGAATTTTGCCCAAAGAAATGAAACCGACCCTGCCCTGTGGAGCACGTCAAGCTTAACAAAGCGCTCCCATCGCCTGTTTCGGGGAAACACCTTCGCGATACAAAAAGTTTGCGCGGAAATAGAACAGGGAGGGGGGACGCAGACTTCTCCGATTGTATGCTATATCCAACATGTCTACATACACCGATGTTGAAGGCTACAACATTGGTTTGGGGACAACAACCACCCGGACGCAGCAACGATCACGGAAGGAACACAAGCGACCCGTGTAATATTTACGGGACGGAATGGAAATATGGGACGCCACACCTGGCCTCCTGGGGCATGCACAGCCGGAGAACAACCGTGTCCGGGAACACTATGGGCCTGAAGGAGAGGCTGTGTGGGCAGATCGGGGTGAACAGGATGGCCGGCACGCAAGGATGTACCTGAACGAGTACGAGTACAGCGAACAAGGAGAGGGGGGGGTGTCTTGAGTACACTGACGGCGGAGATGGGTATTTCGGGGTGAAAAACAATTGAAAACTCCATTCACACGGCTGCGATAGAAAAAAATACAAAGGTAGATACTAGGATGAACGCATCCACAGCACGGGAGGGAGGGAGGAGCGCAGGAGGGGGGTACAAAAGGGGAATGGAGGGGGGGGGGGGATTACGCACAATGGATTCTTGACCGAGGAAAAATCCACGCACGTCCAACCTCCCAACGACGATCGGCCGGCGGCCCCACGAGCAGACTTCAAGACCGTACTTCATCAACGCCAACGTGTTGACAAAAACACCTCCAGACAGCAAGCGTGATTGGACAGTTTTCGTCGATCCTTTTCCGCTCGGGACGAAGGGGTCTGCACATGGCCGAATACGTTCTGGGCCGCATCAACCGGGGCCACACAGTCAGGAACCCTTGTGAGGCCCACACCGATAACAAGCATGGATGCGCACCGCAGCGCCCACTCTCAATATTTACTACGTTCGTGTTTAGGTGCCTGCTTGAATACTGTGTTGTGGTTCATAACTCGGTGGTCTGACGATATATAGTCCGTTGCTGCTCTTACTGGCGGAGCTGTCTCTGACAGTAGCTCGAAAAAAATAGACAACAAAACAAGTAGAGAACACAGACTTCAAGAGAGAAAAGATCCATTCGCAGGGCAGTTCGTCGAGATACATACGAAGAACGACAAAAGAAGAATGTGCATCACCGCAAACTTGGTCACAAACAAATGGATGTGATCAAGTGTTCTGAGTGTTCAACAGTGATGAACAAAATCAACATATCTATGTCCGTGCACACAAGGCCTAAGGACGAACGACAACTTTTCTCGGCAACGCGGAGGTTGTTTCTCAAGACGCGTGGCGTGGCGGAGAGTTTTTGTTGCTCGTATATTACGTTGACCTGTTATGAAGACAAAACGGCACAGGATTATTCGTTTCAAGAACGAACACTAACTGACCGAACGCGATACAACCAACGTTTGTACATGCGTGGGTTCGATCCTCGGTGGGGAATGTCTTTTTCCGAGGAAAAATCTAGTTTTCGACTTATCGTCAAAAAAACTTTATATTGAGGATAAGTTGAATCGTATACAGCACAACAACTAGCAGAGATACAGTCGGCCCCGCTTTAAGGACGCTCGCGTTGAGGAAAGTCCCCGCTTTAAAAAAACTTTTTATGCTGAGCACCAGGGGGGCCGGCAGAATGTACGTAATGGGGTACCACCATTTTTTCTGCCACGTACCCCCCTTTTGTGTCCTGCGGGCCGCTCTTTGCATGCACGACGCACCACAGTGAGTGCAGAAGTACCGACACACAGACAGCAGAAGTGGTAGCGAGCAGTCTGCTGCTGCAGCTGTAACAGGGTGTTGGTATGGATAGATTCCTCCCATCTACCGGCCGTCCATCTGATGCCGCCAAAAAAAAAGTCGTGCATAACCTCGTCCCTCACCGAGGCCGAGGTTATCTCTCCCTTGGAGGGCGTTCGATCCTACTTGTACGCGAAGGGAAGGGGCGGCGAGTACCGTGAGACGCAGTACCTTCTTTCGAAGACCGTTCATTCGTATACTCATGAAACTCAACAGAGCCGTAGAGCCAAGCCGCGGGGGGAGGTTCAGGGATCTTTTTGCGATATGTGGAGGGAAAAGTCGCCCAAGGGTAGCTTTTGGTCTGCGCCGGGACAGTTGTCATATGTACTGGTGTTCCTCGGTGCGACGCTGAAATACGCTCGTCGTTTTTTTGTTTCACAAGAATGAGATAAATATGTGTCTGCTTGGACTTGCCTCCTTCTTCCGCTGCCGGCTGTGCAGTACATTGGTTGGAAAAGTACAAACTTCTGTGCTGTAGTTAGATGTTCAACACTTCCCCGACTGCTGTACATCTCATTTCTAAGTACTGTAAATGTGTTCGACATCGATAAACGGTTGCCAGTCGTCTCGGCGATGCTGACTTTTTATACCACACCGCTCCTTAGCAAAAGACGCGTAGTTTGAAGTATAGCATGCCTCCATTGGCCACGGGGATGGGGAGCTATCGTACCCTGACTTTTAAGGACGCAACCCCGCTTTAAGAACGCTTTTTTTCGGGAAAAACCATGTGCGTCCTTAAACCGGGGTCGACTGTATTTCAAACTAGAGCGCGGTAAACGACTCTGCTCATCAATTTTTTGTTGGGGATTTTTCTTTTGCCAGGGAAAAATCTTTTTTTTTCGAGAAATTTGTCTTTTTCGTCGACATTACGTCTTTTTTCCCCTTTTTTTCCCAGTCTTGGATTTTTTTTTTCCGGCGGGTGGCTAAATATGACTTGAAATTAGAGTGCCATGATGAAAATATTTTTCTCAAGCCCATCTGTTTTCCCTTGGTCTGAGGACCACTAGGATGACTCAAACTCCTGCTGAATCGACATATTTCAAAAGTTACGTAAAAAAACGTAATTGGACAAATTGCTGTGCTCGGACTATACTCACCATGCTGCCCCCAGCAGACATGCTGTAGGCGGTGGAACCGGTCGGTGTCGCGATGATGAGACCATCGGCCTGAACGGTCGTCAGGTGCTCCTCGTCGCAGTAGCACTCCAAGTTGGTCAGGTAGGGACTGGAACCTGATCCGACCGTGCACAGAGGACGACAGGAATGCACGGCGTTCGCAAAGGTCGCACACGTTCATTTCCATGCGCAAGCCTTCGAATTCCATTTGGTCATGGATCATGGACCATGCAGCGGCTTCGGACCATGCCATGGTTTATGGACCATGCAATGGTTATGCACCACGTACTCATGTACCAGTGTTTTCCTACTCTCTGTGAAGGGACGCCGCCAGCAAATCGGGGAGCCCGGAGCAAAAAGAAAACACAAGCTTCAGCCGATATCTACACCGGAAATTCATGCAGTTTAATCTTCCCCCTTACTTTTCGCTGCTGTGAAGCTATCACTAACCTCCTCTCCATGTACGGCCACGAATTTCCCATTCCTTGAATCTAATATGTACATCAGACTTCACCTACATCCACCCACATCCCACATGTGCTTTTCCAGGGCGAGTGACTATAGACGAGCCTATTTCACTACTTGTGATGCAATACTTCAGACCTCATACGATGCCGCATCCACCAAAACTCCATAATTCGCTATCCAGTGGGGGGGACGGTATATTGACGAGCCTAGGGCAGCAGCACTCTCCTACCTCTGTCGATGACGATCTCGTTGAGGGCGTGGAAGGCCTCCGAGGTCTGGTCGTCTCTGATGATCCTCGCGGACAGCCGCATCCGTAGAGAGACCTTCATGCCCCCGCTCATGATCCGCCGGACCTCCTCCTTCATCGACTCGTACTCGAACGGGCTCAAGAATCCCATCGACCCCAGGTTAAAGCACAGATGCGGGGGCACCGATCTCTGCGCGAATGGGGGGGGTGTATGTGCGAGCACAAGTGATGCCATACAGACGCACAGAGTGAATGCAAAAAACAAAACTGTTAACCTGACTTTCAGCAAGCGGGGGGTTGTCCGGAATGTTGGCGAACCGGGGCCGATTTTGGAATGAGCGGATGACCGTAAGCTTCTGTTTTCGACGCCGTTGACTTCGAGCGCAAGTGATTCTTGATGCTCGCAGAGCGGCCGGACTCAGCACGAAACACGGTTAAAATTGGGTGCTCGGAAGCGCAGAGTGCCGACGTTTCGATGCACGTTGATGATGACAAATACACACTTTCATGGTCACCATTCATGCGCTGAAATCAGGACACAAAACGGCAGCACCCTACCAATGAAGCAAAAAACACAGCAAGGCAGACACGCGATACCAACACACTTATGCATCACCCCTTGATGACCATGCTGTGCTCTCATGAGCCCACTCCGGAGGGAGTACATGCAAAACAAAAAATCACAGCAGTACGGGCAAAACACACACACACAGCAACCCACCAACCACAACTCACTCTGAACAACGTGTTGCTGTACATCAGGAGGCCGTCCCCACCCAGCGTTAGCACGAAGTCCACGCTATCTCCGTCAAGAGGAGGCGCGGGTCCCGCCCCCCCCCTAGGGCCCATTTCTGCCACGACCGACCTCTCGGGCGGCGTAAATACTTCCAGCTTCCCGCCATCTCCCTCCGTGAACTCGTCTAGGGCCTGGAGCAGAACGCGGGTGTAGGGGCGGGTTGCCGTTGCTGTTGCTGTTGCTGCTGCTGTTGCCGTTGTTGCCGTTCTATTGTTCTTGCGTTTGTCCTTATGGTTGGTATCGTCGTTACCGATGATGCTGCAACTGTCATCGCTGCTGTGGCAATTGCTGTTATTGCTGACACTGCTGCTTCAGTAGCGGCTGGTGTCGACGTGCATGCATTGATCCTTCACAATGTGTTACGCACGTCCACGTGGAGTACCCAATCAGCTAAAATAGCAACAAGCTTTCGTGGGGCATAAAGTAGAATGCTTTCATATATCAAACACGCAAATCATCATCGCCAGCTTCAGCAATGGCTGTCCAATCGGTGTAGACCGCCGCCGTCACCAACACCACCGTTCTAAGGTAGACATACCAAAGCGGATAGCCCGAAATTTACAGAAGGACCGAAAAAACATGACAAGGATTCGCCCATCCCATCACTTCACAAGAAGACGGAGTGAACAGGGTCATGAAAACCCTTTCGGATAAAGACATGGTACGCCCTAAAAGACAGCTAGTGCCATCCTACCATTCCAGCAACAGCACGGCAACACCTTGACAACGGCATAAACCGAACGCCGCACAAGCAGGCGGGGGTAACCTCTTTTGATCACCTGGCCCACTGCCTCCACCGCCGCCGTTTCGACCATGACCTTGAGCCTCATATCCCGCTGCAGGTAGTCGATGGTCTGTGCGGCAAGGGGCAACAAGTCCCGGTCGGGCTTGAGGAGGACCAACGCCCGTCTCGGCCGCTCGTTCCATCGCATCATCACCTGGTGGCACGTGCATGAGGAGTGATGCCACAAAAAGTCGGCGGAGGGTCGAGTCGAGAGGTGTCGCCGCACCAAAACGAGTGCGCGCTCTCGTGAGTCGGAGGCACGCCAAATTAGCCCTATGATGAGCTCCAAAAAACATCATACTGCTTGCCCATCCTACCGTTTCTAAACTCCAAAGATACCATATTTCTTGCCCATCCTACCGTTAACAGGCGTCTTGGTCGACTCCTCTCAGCTAGCAAGCGTTCGGCGAAACCAACCGTCACCCTGGTTCTTCAGTAAGCTCGTAACAATCATTTGACCCATGTGCGACTTTGGTGGTCCCAATCATATCTATCCCTGGGTCACAACATCCTGCGTATCCCGTTGCGCATGCGCGCACCTGCGTGGTCGCCGGCGCGGAGGCAGAAATCTCCCCGCTTTCCACCATCTCCCGCTCGCAATGGTAAGCATCACAGCGGAAAAGGCTGAAGCCCGCGCGTTCTCGAATATCCTGTGTAGGGTAACAGGCAGAAACGCATGCGAGTCAACTGGTGTCGGTCGGTTACTAGCTCTCCCCCTTTCATGACCCTCACAATACTCCAGCAAACGTTCGCGCAAAGATCCGCGATCCGTTGCAAAATGGCCCCGCAGAGGTATCACCAGACGAAACTCACGTGCTTACTACGCCCTAAGAAAAACGCCCTGTTCTGCAACGCTTGTAGGCTATTATGGAATTCGTACGTTCGCCATCGCACAGGACCACAACCGGCGTGGGCTTTAGAGAGAAGCCAATCAGAACAGGAGGATTTCGGCAGCAGTGCCTAGCTTCCCGCGTGGTTAGTTGTTTGGCCCGCGGGGTAGGATTATCCCGAGACGTGATGTCGACGTCGGTCCTAACAGGGTGTGGGGGTGACGTCATGGACCACAGATGCATTAGCAAGCATGAACGCGGCATCGGTAGACGGTGGCAACAAAAGCACGAGCGAAGGGTGAATAATATTCAAGAGCGATACAAGAAAACAAAACGGTACAAAAACTCACAAGTGTGCTATCGTCGCTGCTGCTCCCAAAGTCGCTCGCTTTGCCGGGACTCCCACGTGGGGGCATCGAAAACGGCGGCACCGGTGCTGTTGCTGATATCGTCGCCTCCTTCTCACCACCGCCGAGCGCTGCATTGCTGCTGCCCGAACCGTTTGTGGTGGTGGCGGAGGCGGTAGTAACGGGACTTCGAGACGAACCCACTGGCGATGTGTCGGTTCTGCCGCACGACACAATGTTCCCAAGTGGGATGTTGTAGAGGGAAAGGAATGTGTTAAAATGTTGACGCTTTGGACTTACGCAACCACCAGAGGCGACCAAAAACTATTGTTTACGTTAACACAGCAGTAGTGGAAGATGCTGGCGACAGCGGAACGTAACATCCTGTAACTTGAAGACTTCATGGTCGATGCTGGGTTACCCCCCACAGCTGAATAAACAAGACACAAGTCCCGAGCAAGGGAAAGAGGCTCTTTTGGCGCTTGCATTGTTCTTGAGTTGAACAGACTCATGCGCATGCCTTTCGCCTGTACGTAGACAGGCAAGGACGGGGCGGCGACCAGCGGCGACACCAGCTGGCTCGGGCTTCCCTCCGCCGCACCTCAGAGGAAAAAGGTAAACTGTTGCACCTGGTACACATGCAATGTAGTGTCATGATTTTTTGTAAAGCCCCTTTACACATCCCACGCGCGAGCACTCATAACGAAGGCACTACAGTACCAGCCCGTGGAACAATCAATCGGTTGCCCCCGGACAGAGTTGCCTTGCTGCGCAAGTGCAAGTGAGTTTGTATTGATATTTCATCACTGCTACATACCAGCGCCGTACCCGTTACATGTGTGTGATCACCGGTAGTTGCTGCCCGCGAGTGTCCCAGCCGCAGTCATCGTGAGCTGCTATCACGAAAGGCCAACCAGGCGCGCCAGCCACGGCCCATCAGCATGACACGAGCAGCAAACAGCCACAACGGCAACGAACAAAGCTTGACGGGCTCACCTGTCTACCCCAGCTGCGGCAGTCGCATCACCTCGTCGCGCTGCAGGAGGTTCCTCGGCACCACCCCCGCCCCCGCGAACCGAAGGTAGCCTCCACGGAGCCGGCCGCCGCAACCCGCCCCTACTCGACGGGGGCGCCCTCCCTCCACCTAATATCCGGGGCGAGACGCCGCTACTGCCCGCCTTGTTGACGTCTCTGCCGCTACAGGTCGCAGCAGGGGGAGCGTACACGTTGGTGCGTTGCTGACGGATGCTGGCGCTCCCGAGGAGCGAGTCCGCAGGGGATTGCATCATCGCCACGGCAGCCACGCCAACAGCGCTGAGGGTTCGGCGTGCCATGATGCAAGGAGAGACCGCTCACGGCGCCAACAGAGCAGAGAGCAGAGGGCTACGTGTGCGAGCTTCCTAGTTGCCGAAGTGACGACAGCAGAGGCAGGCACAGCAGATAGGCGAGTTGTTGAATTTCCCGGGGGGGGTCAAACTCAAAAGTCTTCGAAGCGACGAAAACGTAAACACGCCCAGGCACACCCGTGTAGGCACACAAATATCAAAGAGCCGTTCGTTTCTCCCTGGTCGCTGCTAGAAACGCTGCTTGGCGGTGTGATACGTGAGTACGTCAACTTGTGAGCGCGGAGTACAAAACATGTCAGGGGCCCTTCACTTAGGATTAACCATCCCCTCTAATAATATGCCCTCTGCGATTCCCCCCCCCGAACGTGACAAACCGAGCCAGCAACGGAGCAGGCAGACAGGCGAGGTTAGAGTCGAAGTGCAGCAGCAAGGATGATGTCTCTACTACCCCGTGAGTGTTATTTGTGTGTCTACTAGCGTGCCGTTGCGTTCGTCCTGCACGGGGTTATTCGCGAGCCCGGACTCCCGCACTGCTGTGTGTTCGATGCACACACAGGACGCGTTGTCAGTCAAGCCCGGACCGCAATTGCACGACACCCCGTGTCAAGAGCAACGTAGTAGAGAAGCCGATGTTAGTTGGTCGCCCGTGTGCTTGTGTTGCATTGTCGTGCTCTGCTTTGTTGCGCTTCTTGCGCACTTCAATCTGGCCCAAACTGCCCCCCCCTCTCGCCAGGTCAGTCAAACTCCTCCGGGAAAGACACCCGCAATCCGGCCGGGTCTGAACAGAGTCAGCCCTCTGCTTTGTAACCACTACACCTGCAGCCCATGCAGTACCACTGTGCCTCTGACTCGACTCTGGCTCCGTTGCATGCTCACGAACAGTACCCTGTCATTGCTGCAGCCATAGTTAACTTCTGTACAAAGTAGCGTCATCCGCCGAGAGTCTGAAAGCCAAGAGGGTGGGTTGCTTCATCACATGTACAGGTAGACTTCATTAGTTTCGCGATTACCATCTCAGAGCTCTTGCCTTCCATGTAGTCTATGTACTGTAAGCATGAACCCAAGGGTGGCATACATGCAGGGCTGCGTTGTTGTCAGTTGACTTGTGATCAACCGTGCTGCTACTGCTACTGCTGCTCCTGTACACGAATGCGCTCATCATTCTACGCGGACCGGAACGTCTTCGTTTACCCAGGGCGGGGGCTCGCGATCGCGATGCAACAAACCCGCTCCACCGGTGCCGTCTACCGCGCTCCCGTGGCCCTCCTCCACACCACGGACAAGAAGCAGGAGCAGTCCAGCAAGGTTGGTTTGTGATTCGGTAGACAGGAAGGACAGAGCATGGTTCCGTTCTCGTCGTCTTGACTGTTGTCCTTCACTCAGCACCGCCGTGGCACAGCAACTGCAAGCATGTCACCTGCGGCTGTGCAGTCAACTGGGAACGACAAGAACAAGTGACACACAGCTTACCCCCCGCCTAAAACCATGTGTCGTTTTTTGTTATGGGCATGCTCCATGCAGGTACAGGACATGCGCAAGCCGACCAGCTCTGAGCTGACGAGAGCAGAGAATGTGGACCAGCTCATGCAGCAGGGAAAGGGCGGGGTTGGTGAGCAAATATGAGGCATGCGGAGGGGGGTGTACTCATAGTCGTGCATGCCGTAGTCGTTAGACCACTGACCTCGCATCCCTACAAAGCCGGGACGGAGCACGCAAGGTTCTCACCGGACCAGGCTCTCACATCACCAAGTGCGAAGCGCCGTGAGGTATTCGGCGAGTCGCACGAAGGGTGCGCTGCATGCTTGTAAGGGTGTTCGGCATCTTGTGCTTACTTCCTTGCATACGGGTGACCGCTGCTTATGACTTAATTTACTTTCTGGTGCTTCACTTCCAGAGACAGTTGTAAGCACTGTGTAACTGCCTTGAGGGTGCTTGACCATTTTAACACAACGTGGTGCGATCATCCCCCTTGTGCGGAGTGAGGAGGGGGAGGGCATTGGTTGACCGCTACAATACGCCACACATGCTCCATCCAGCAAGAGGAAATAGAGCTATTCTCTGTTGTGTTGGCCTCACAACAAGCTTTGGTAGAGGATGAGACGTCTCCTCCGACCGTGTTGCCCCATGACCATACCCACCTCGCTGTTGGATCTACTGGATGCTATTGGAGCACGCGTCCCCTCCCCTCTCGTCTACGCATTGCGAGTGTTTGGGCACCTAACCCTGTCATGTCTACCCTGCTCCGGAACCCCCACATACCAGAGTTCGTGGTTTCGAAGGTTGACGATCTGGTGAACTGGGCGAGGAAGGGATCGCTGTGGCCGATGACGTTCGGGCTGGCCTGCTGCGCCGTGGAGATGATGCACTCCGCTGCATCGCGCTACGACCTCGAGCGCTTTGGCATGGTGGGTTCCACCCCCCCCCCTATGCATATGTTGTCCACCCCACCACTTCCCCCGTAAACCGATGCCCTTCCCTTCTCCCTCGCTCTCTTCTGTCTCTCCCCGCTATCAAGCTTGAAAGCAGTAAGGTGGTTTATTCTGTTGTTTTTTTTCTGGTCGCATGGTGTTTTGATGAACGGAAATGCTTGCCGATGGTGGGGCCACAGGCAACGGAGCCGCGCGCGATTGCCTCTTTTGGCGTGTCTCTCGTGGTCTTGAAAGCGTCATGTGTGTTTTTTAAAAGCGTGCGGTAATCGTTGACGCCGTTCATGTTCTCACCGGGAGCTTTCACCTTTAGTCGACGGATTTGTGTATCTCTTCGGCGGCGGTGTAGCCGTTTTCTTGCGACAGTCCCTTGTGTCCCTCGTGCGGTTGGGATCGGGTCGACCCGGCACTCCGCCGGGCCTCCACGACTGCTTTGCCGTTTTTTTATCGTCCTTTTGTTCGGGCTACAAGCCCGCAGGCACTCCGGTATGCACATCACTTGGTGCCACACTGACACTATTCACAATTGTTGTTGGAGTATTGTACCCCTGTGCGTATTGGTTTCGCCCGGCTAACATTTCCACGTAGAACTTAGCACTACATGGCATTGCTAAACCCTTTGTGTTGATGGTATGCTTCTTGTGGTCGTGAGCAGGTGTTCCGGGCGTCGCCGCGGCAGTCGGACGTGATGATCGTGGCGGGCACGCTGTGCAACAAGATGGCACCAGCGCTGCGTAAGGTAGGAGGGGGGGGAATAACAGAACTTGAGAGAGAGATATTGAAGGGGAAGGAGGAGGTAGAAACAGAGACGGAGACGGAGAGATTGCGCAAACGCACCGTCACAGCAGTGCGCCGATCTCACCCCCCCCCCCCC